CTCCGTTGCCTGGACGTTTTAGGAAACTAAGCTTCGTTACGAAAGTAATTACAAAAATGGTTGCGTGGCAAAAGTATTTACAAAAATAAGCTTCTGGGGTAAACCGCTGCCTCGGGCAGCGTTTTATTTTCTATTTTTTAAAAAAAAAAATCTGCTACAAAAACGCTGCCCCAGGCAGCGTTTTTATAGTTTGACTTTTTTTTTTCCTCGTTTATTTTTTTTTAAAATTAATAATTAAAAAAAAGGCAACAGCATAAAACGCTGCCCCATGCAGCGTCTTATGCTTAAACATAAGACGCTGCCTGGGGCAGCGTCTTATGCTTGAACATAAGACGCTGCCTGGGGCAGCGTTTTATGCTTGAACATAAGACGCTGCCTGGGGCAGCGTTTTATCTGTATATGTTTACAGGTAAAATGGTGCCCCAGGCAGCGTTTTACCTGGTTGGCAGCACCAAACCAGTTTCTTGCCCCAACCCTCAACATCCTTCCAACACCACCCCCAACCTCCTTCCACCACCTCCAACCCCTTTCCACTACCGCCCTCCACCACCACCGCCTTCCACCACCACCACCACCTTCCACCACCTCCAACCCCTTTCCACCACCGCCCTCCACCACCTCCAACCATCACCTCCACCACCTTCCACCTTCCACCACCACCGCCTTCCACCACCACCGCCTTCCACCACCTCCAACCACCACCTTCCACCACCACCTCCAACCATCACCTTCCACCACCACCTTCCACCGGCTTCCACCGCCTTCCTCCACCGCCGTCCACCACCTTCCACCCCGACCTCCCACCACCACAACCACCTTCCAACAACCGTCCACCACCACCTCCAACAACCTTCCACCTCACACCACTACCTTCCACCACCACCGTTGACAAGTCAATATATACATAAATCAAAACATATTGGGAAACAAAGAACATAACACACAAATGTTGACCGAAAAACATTTATTATATTAGAAATGTAAATGTTATATACCTAATCTATACAAAAATTTTACTACATGAAATAACTAAGCTAACACTATCCCGATTCATCTATCCGGGGCAATTGATCTAGGTCAGGTTGCTCGGCCCTCTGTCTGACACGCCGCCGCCTGTAATGAGTAATGGTGGTGAATGGGTCTAGAGGCGGCGGGGGAGTCAGCTGGCTGGTATCTGGCACCTCCTGGGAGCCGGACGGCGCAGTGCTGTGGAAGGTGTAGTCCTCTGAGAATGTCGGCGTCGTAAAATCACCTCCACAACTACTCTGTCCGAGCTCGAACTGCGAATGCATCGAGTGGCCATCATACGTGTCCCGTTGGGGGACGAGGTAGTCGTGTCCATATCGACGCAAGCTGGCCATGCCCATATCCCGAACCCGCTGGACCTCGTTCCCGGTGGGCCCGTCAGCCAGGCTAAGGGACAGCGCGTCAACCATCGATGCCATGTCTGCCGCCTGCAATAATCATTGATCAGTTATGCATAGAAACCTAAAAAGAGATGAAAATTAATCGGTTGGAAGTGAAACTCACATATCCATAGGCCAGAATTGGGCTGCATACGTGTCGGTGTACTGCTCCCGGCCATTGCTGTATACGTCGCCCCATGTACAGGTGAAGCTATGTGAGAGCTGAACGGCATGTGAAATTGATCGTCGTTCAACATTCGACTAAAAGATCCCATCCCATATTCAGCCGGGGGAGTGTCGTGTGAGGGCACTTGCGGCTGTGTGTTGTTACCGGAAATAAATGTAGAATGTGGTTCTGCCCTGGTACTTTGTTGGGTACAAATAGGCACCATCTCCACATAAATATCGGTGGGAACACCCTTCAACGCTACAACGCTCCTTAAAGCTTTCAAATGCTTATTCGAGGACACAGGTAACACTTGAACCCCATTCCCGGTCTCAAACCTCATTTTAATGTTTAGTTCAACACTCCCCGGGTTTGAACTAACGCTACTATGAACCTCGTTCATGAAATCACTGAAGGTCATGTTCGGTTCAAGTGTCAGTGGTTCCATATTTCCACCATTATACTCGACACGAGGTCCGTCAAACAAAAATTCACCTCCCCACCGGCACAACAAAACTACATTCTGTGCGGCCATATTCTACACAACAACCAAAACACATTACACTAAAACACACTAATCCATCTCTAAATCACATCCAACTAACCACTTTGGAACAACTAAGCATCACTAGGTCACCATTAACAAGCAATAATTCTAGAAATTCAAATACTTAACATCTTCAATATTTCAACACCAACAATTCTACATTATCCAAATTAATATTTAACAATCACAATTCATCAACTCAACCCTAAACCCCTAAATTCAACAAAAACCCCCAAAATTCAACATAAACCCTAGAAATTCAACAATTCAAGAAATTCAACAATAACCAATAATTCAACAACACTAACCAACAATTCAACAACACTAACCAACAATTCATGAATTCAACAACACTAACCAACAATTCAACAACAATATCCAACAATTCAATAATTCAACAACACTAACCAACAATTCAAGAATTCAACAAACATAACGAACAATTTGTAAATACTCAACTAATATTTAACCATACCTTGAATTGGATGTAATACGAAATTGGGTTGAAGAGGAAATTTGGGAAGGGAAGGAAGAGGATTGCGAAGGAGGCGAAGGAATGAAGAGCAAACGTGATTGAAAACGAAGCTCGAGTTTCTGGTTTTACAACCAGACAGAAACGCTGCCTGGGGCAGCGTTTCATTAACAAGATAAGACGCTGCCTGGGGCAGCGTTTTATGCTGTTGCCTTTTTTTTTAATTAATTTTAATAAAAAATAAACGAGGAAAAAAAAAAGTCAAACTATAAAAACGCTGCCTGGGGCAGCGTTTTTGTAGTAGAATTTTTTTTTAAAAAAAATAGAGGGTAAAACGCTGCCCGAGGCAGCGGTTTACCCCATAAGCTTATTTTTGTAAATACTTTTGCCACGCAACCAAATTTGTAATTATTTTCTTCGGGAAGCTTAGTTTCCTAAAACGTCCCTGTTGCCTTATGTTTTTTACGTTTGGAATTATGCACTATTATTAAGAAATTGTGTAAAGTAGAGTTATATTGGAATATTTCAATGATTGAAAACACAATTCTATTGAAAAAAACGTACATGTGGGGTGAATAAAGTAGAGGAGAGAGGGTACGGATGCCAATATTAGATGGATATCCATTAACCCGATCCACCCGCTTAAAATAAATGGGCGAAAATCCGAAATAAATGGATGAAAAGCGGATGACGGATGGAGTGGATGACGGATCGGATCAGATGTGGATGAAGATTTTTTCACCCACTAACCATCCACCCACCCGTTTAACATATATAAAGATTTTTAATCTAAGAATTTTAATTAAAAAAATTTAAAATATACAATAAAAATAGTTTATTTTGTTGCAAATTTATTTTTTCAAAAAATATGTAGTTAGTGCTTCCTTTTTATTTGAAAATAATAATAATTCATGGTAAAAATAACCATAAATTAAATTTTATATGAAATTTTTTTTCATAAAATATTCATCCATTAGTCACCCGATCCACCCGTTTCATCCGCGGATGATGGATGGATGGATGTGGATGAAGCAATTGGAATGATGGATGGATGCGGGTGAAGCTCCACCGATTCGAATCCGATCCATTGCCATCTCTAAGAGAGGGGAGAGAAAGTAATAATGAGTATTGGAAAACCATTAAAATAGTACAAAAAGTACAATAGCACATGGAAAAGTAAGGACTTTTGATTATTAAAATTGTAAATTAAGGGTAATTTTGTCCAAAATTTATGACTAAAAAAGGAAAGATATTAAATGTAAAGAATAAAAAGAAACACTTAAAATGGAAACGTAAAAAACAAATAGGAATGGAGGGAGTAGTTTTCTTAACTTGAGGCATACTTGACGACTTGAAGTTGAAGGTTCAGTCTTCGACTCTTCACTAGGCACATTGACAAGGCATTCCAAATGACAGCTTGTGAGCTGCTTAAATGGTGTCTCGCAGGGGCAGGTTGGTCACTTTATGTGGGATTTAAATTATACCATGTAAATTCAATGGTATAAAGTACACTCTTAGTGATATAAGATACACTTTCAGTGGTATTTTAAAAAAGGTTCAAATGTCTCATTGGGCTGTCAAACAATATCATTGGGGCTTCAGCGATACAAAACACACTCTCAGTGGTATAAAATACACTTTCAGTGGTACTTAAAAAAATATTCAGTAGTACAAAATACACTCTTAATAGTTGTGGTCTCAATTCTTTTGTCTTTTTCGCATGTGAAACCATGTCTGAAGAAAAGGTGGGCCCCAGGCCACCTTTTTTTCACTCTTTCTATCTCTCCTCTATTCCTTTCTCCCTTTTCCTTGTACATTTTGTATATTATTTTATTTGTGAGATAGAGGAGTAGCGGCAGCTTGTGAGCCATTACAACTTCCTCGTACATTGATAGTGGGAAATTTAGAGATGTCAATTCAGATAACTGGATTTGGCTGGGTTGGTTCAGGTGGAACATTGATTAAGTTAACTAGTATGGGAGGATTATTTAGTTAATTTCTAAAGTATATATGAAAAGTTATTTTATTTCATCATCTTTTGTTGGTTAAATTTTCCAAAAAATAAAGTTCCAGCCAACATATGCTTTTTCAGCGCACTCTAAAAGAAACTTCATAATCTTCTTATGGTAGTTCTTACATGGCCCAAAATTCCTTTAGGATTCTCCAAGCTTAAGATGAAGCTAATCAAGCATTGCATTCAATATCCTCTTCAAAAACGAGGAATATAAAACCATCCCTAATGTGCTCACCATCACACTCAAAGAGCAGAAAGACTCTTAAAATTACAAACTTCAGATTAAATTAAATTCCCAAAATTAAAATAAGAAATATCACTTCAAATGCAAGAGACTACAGCAGCAAACAAAGCAAAGTTTAGACTGCAAAATAGGCAACCGCAACACTGCAATATTTCATAATCTTCATTTCATTATGTTGACTATGAATTCACGTCATTACAAATGTTTGTATCAAAGTTATGCTCAAATTTAAGAAATGAGAAAAAAGTGATTTCGATAATTATACAAAAAAAAAAAACAGTCGTGCACCAAGTCATTTTCCTGTTTCATTCCCAAGAAGCTACCCAGTGTTAAGTGTTTCAGTCTGGCTCTTCTAGCTTCATCAGCAAAAGGAAAGCAAAGTTTGATACAAAGCTCACTTGTGACCTTAGCCTTTCTGCAATGCCCAGTCAATTGGTTCTTGAAGATATTGTTGTGCAATAAACACTGCTTCCTGGTTTACACAAGGTTCAGTAGTTTCAGAAGCGGATTAAATAACTACAATGATATTGCTTTGTACAGCTCCCTGCCTCCCCTGATGGGGGTAGACCTCATGTGCATTTTTGCCCTGATGAATTGGCGAATATCACTACCAAAACTGAAATATGAAATTTTACTTGCTAAGGAGTAAAGGCTCAATGAAAAGATATGAATGGAAACCCAAATTCTAATCCTTATCTCTTATATAGATGGGATTATGGGAATCCATACTCTAATCTTAATGCTTGCAATCAAGTAGGAATGGTCAAATTAAGCCACCAAGCAGAACTTATCAATGAAAGAAGTACATCCCAAATTCCCAATACACAATTAATTATCATATAGACCTTACCTTTAATTTCTTGTCCCTGTGAATGCACTCTTTCAAACCAGACAGACAACCAAATGTGATCAAAAGGTGCCTGAATGTGAACTAGAGCTATAAGATTTGCATAACCTCACATTCTCACAAGTGACAAGACAATTTAATAGGCAAGATGGTTGAAAACAAAGAGTTCAGTTAAATTCATTGAGGCCTTCCAAACATGCTGAATGCCTGAAAGGAGAAGAAATATACAAGTACCACTATAAAACAATAAAATAATAACCTCATTAAGTAAACTACTATAATACAGTAAACAGTTTATTTCACATTGCAAGGTAGCAAGAAACTAATTATAAGAGCACAATGATGAAATAGCACATTACTTTTTACCTTTTTTTTTTAAATCAAGAGGAAATTATTGAAAACCTCTGTCAAATCTAAGTATCTTACAACAACTAAAGATTGAGATATTAACCAGAAACACACCTGAAAGCAGGTATACAAAGCTCAGATGACTTGAAAACTTCACCAAAGTCTGCAGTTCCAATCGCATAGAACCACCCTACAAAGCGAAATAAACATGTTCAATTGCGACGGAACAAAAGAACTGATAAGCCTCTACAACTCTTCGAAGAAACATAATTACTAGTACCTCAAATGAGCAGTTTTCAATAACGGAGCTCAAATTTGGAGCATATCACACTTATATTCCTTCTTCCTAAGTAGTAGATAGGACATCTGGAGTAATGTCCCTTCAAAGGCCACATGATATCATAATCGTAGCAGCAATACATAGAATAGTCTGCAAACAGGACCAAGGTGTAATGCAAGAATTAGTAACCTACTCTCAGATCACGCATAGTAATTTTGTCAATCAACAACAAAGCAGACAGCTGCTAAAACCATCTTCAACTTGACAATTTCCTAAATTTTATGAAGGAAAAAATCATGAATTTAAAGAAAACCAAGGTAGTTAAATTGCATGGTGATCGAAAGCTATTGTAGATATCAAAGATCAAAGATAAATTAATAAAATTTAAAGATTCCGAGATGCTAGGTACGATGAAAGAATTACATAATGAATTAATACCAGTGCTCAATCACGATCATTCTCCATTGCTACCATGACCCTTAATCCTCGTCCAAGAACTTTTATCCATGACAATATTCTGCAGCAAAGACAGAGATATAATTTAGAAGCATAAAAAAGCCATGCACTTTGAAAATTGAGATCTTATTGCTCATTTGAGATGTACTGATGAGATACATACATACTTTCATACATCTTCAACAGTGTCAGTTAGCACCCATACATCAGACATTCAAAGGGGAATCATAAAGAGGTCAAAAATGTATGCAAAATGTTTGTTCCCAGTAAACCAGTAGAAATGAGGTCAGATAATGTGTATCTTCCTAATGCATCAGATGTGTCCTCAATTTTCACTTTATACTTGCAGAAAACGTTTTGGTATTCAATCAACTGAATATTAGTACACCACCCAATCTTATCCAAATAACATCATGCATGCATCATCTGAAGAGCAGTTAAACGAACACATGTTTAATAGTGAAAGAGCCGGGAGAGGCCAGGTCATTTAACAGAAATGGAAGGCTTTCCTCATGATCGAGATCCTATTTCCAGACACCAAAATTTCAAACAAACTAAATTGTACCTGACCACCACAATCAATATACATTTGCATTGATATTGGCAATTACATATGACAGAAGTTAGATGGGTGAAACTTAGAGTCAGACATTTGCATAAGAAAGAAAAAGCTTAATATGGTTCTCCTCCCAGCTCTGAATGCTGGTTTCTAGGGAATTAATTCTAATTTCCAGGATATCACCTACCACTCACCTTTTTGCTCAATCCTTATGCACAGACGCACAGTTGACCTAAGCAATAGCAACAAATGAATTGGTTATGCAAAGTGAAGGTTAATGTTGTAACATACTTTGACGAACTCATCAAGTTCGCCGAGAAATCGTAAATGATACATCAGTAAAATTCTGAGATATCTGACTAAGATCACAAGCACACAACTGATCTCTATGGTAGAGGGAAAAAAAAATGCATCACATGAAGAATCTAGAACAAATGCAGTTGAAATTTGTGATGGTTCAAGGTCTCAGCACAGTCTCGTCCTGTTCAATACTGAATTTGCAAGCTTTGTAACTTAAATGGCTTACCTACTATTACTACCTAGTACCTACAGTGTCTACAATCTTTGGAAAACATTAATAATTGTTGTTAGTTAATACTAACAATAAGAGGGTAAAGAAGCTCCTGGATTGGATGGGGATAAATGGAGAAGTCCCTGCAGTATGCAGCATCACCAGCATTTGAAGAATCAACATCTAGCAGATGGCAGGCAGTAGAGGCACCATTATTTCAGAAACTGACTCTATTCTGAAAAACATTATATAAATTCAATCTGTATTTTGATTACAGAACAACTTCAACATTGATGGCTGCTAATGCGAATTAGGGAAAGCTTTTGTAGATGAGTTCTCAGAGATGCAGGGATAAAAATATAAGGAATTATTATATTAATCTTGAAATTAAGTAGACTATAAACGCTGTCAAAGAAAGAATTTCAGCAGTCAGAAAAAGGAAAAAATCAACTCAGCGTCTTCACTTCTTTATTATTTTTTTGAATGTGCCTCACTGCAATCCAGTGCAATCTCCTGGTCAAAATATAAATAGCAAAAGATGCTGGAGCCAACTAATTCCTTCAGAGACATTGAAGCCACTATTTCTAAATTGAATATTGTCAGTTGACTCCAAAACTATTTGTTTTGTTGACAATTGGTCTGAGATTGAAATGCATGTTCTTAAGGTTTTACCTTAAAAGCTTAGTAATAATTGTCTTCACTTCTGCCTTCTTAACACTCTCTCCTTTAGCCTCTTTGTACTCATAAAGATTTTAAGGTTTAGTTTTCTGTAAGGGCTTTATTCAAATTAGAACGTTTTGTGTTGGCAATCAATTGCCTTGATAAACTTCATACCTCCTGATCTTCCAGGCTTCTTAATTATATGTCAAACATCATATGTACAACAGAAGACCTGCAGCACTCAACACATGAAGCCACATGCAAATTAAAAGGGACCAGTATAAAAACCAAATTCTCATCGAGAATAAAAGGTTACACCCACAACTTTGACAATTTTCAATTCCAGGAGCTAATTCACAACAGCCAAAGAAGGCATTCTCATCTTTGTTGCACTATGCTTTCATCATATTCAATCTCTAATTATGAATACAGTAAGATCATATGACTAATATTGAAGCATTGACAGCTAAACAGCCTTTTTAAAAAGGACTCCTTGACTGATCCCGGAACCAACTGTATGGACATAATATAATATAAAGCCTAAAGTTGCATTTAAGGTGCTAAGGCATGCATCTATCGTACCATAATCTAAGTTGTAAGAAGATAGATTGAAGATGGATGAGGGTTTTAAAATGCATGATGGACATCAAAGCAACAGCGAACCTAGCAACTAGGCATTAGGAGAGAGGTGAAGCCTTGGCATGGCACAATTATTATCTAAAAGAAATATTCATTGAGAATCTTATGTTACTTAATAAGCAGCAAAATCACAAAACTTTTCCATAGCATTGTGTAGAATCCTACATACAAAGAGGACTGAAATTCCTTTCTTTTTTTTTCACTGTTGTAAAACATTATAAAGGCAGTAGCAATGTAGCATAACAAGCTACCAAGGTGCATATCTTTTACTAACGAGCCTCAAAGCACCATAGAGCTAATCATCCTCAGCAACTTAGTACCCCATTAGTGAAAATTATATCTTGCACCAGGGACCACACATGCTTTATGGTTCCGAATGGACAAATAATATATAACAATGAACATTTAGTTCACAAAGTTATGAACCTGTAACTGGTAAATTTCAGTATAATTCAATATATGTACATCTGGTTCATATATTATGAACAAATACTTAAGAGATTACGAACACTTTTGTTATTACTTCAGCAATGAATTGAAAATATTATTCATAATTATGAACATTAAAAATATGGTCATATCAAAATCATTGAAGTATATGTTCAATATATTGAAATTATCTGTTCATCCAACGTGATCTCAGGTGCAAGACATAGTAGCTGCTCCGTTTCTTATCTAATACTTCCTCCGTTTTTTAATAAGTATATGTTCAATATATTGAAACTATCCTCTTTCTTATCTAATACTCCCTCCGTTATTTAAAAAGTGCACCATTTCTCTTGGGCACATATGCCCATGCAAATCTTTGACCAATAATATCTTTAATTATCATTAAGTTTAAATTATATCAATTGAAAATTAATAATTTATTCATTAATATATTTATACACATTTTTTCTTATGTATAAATCACAAACATTAGTCAAAGTAGGTCAAGTGAATAGTGCAAAAGGTGCTAATGGAGCACTTATTAAAAATGGAGGGAGTATTGAGCATATAGCATACCTCATCAAGACCACATCTGATGTACCAATGCAACAACAGAGGTGGGAGATTATTCTTCCAAAGTCACACCTGTTACAGTTACCAAATATGGAATAGAATTATAAATCAAGACTTATAACTGATCAACTGATCAGATGCAGCAAACTTCCAGCACCAGTTTATCTATCATCATGAACAATGTTTATTGATACCTAATCTTTCTACAAATATTTATATAGCACCTGCACATATGCAGAAGGTTTTAAGTAATATGATTCTCACTGGAAGTCCTGCTCAACAACAAACCAGTTCCCTAAGCACTAGCCAAAGTAGCCCTTATAATGTGTGTACTAACTTAAGATTACTAGAAGTTTTATTGTAATTACTAGAAGTTTTATTCTAAGTTTATGACAAAAGCAAAGTTTAAAGATTAAGCATGAATAAGTATGGACTTATCAAGGTACCTTACCAATTCAAAAACAAAGCTTTTGTTGCTACACCAAACCTTCATTCGGGTGAATCCAAGGGGAGCAAATTAGCTAGCCATTGCTGATTCCTGCATGTATAAATGATACTGCCAGAGTGACTTTGTTCTTTGTTCAAGTTGAGTATCTAGGTCATAACCCACTGAATCCATTTTGCCCAGAATATCAAAAGCATGATTCACAAAGGCTTGAGAACGCAGGAGAGCGCAAAGTAACCTATTGCAAACTGATGGCTCCAACATAGTCCCCTTTTCTAGAGTATGGAGGAAAACATTTACAGCCAGATCCAATTTTGATTGTGAGCAGAGAGTCTGTATCAGCTTCCTACAACTCGATGAAGCTACAGTGACACCAAATTCTAGAAGAACATCAAAAATCTTCATAGCATCATCTACTCTATCAACTCGACATAGCCCTATTAACCATGTTGTATATGGTCCCACGTCAAAGTTGTTCAACTTAAAATCCATCTTCAGCAACCCTCGGACTGCTTCCTCCAATTCTCCTCTCTCAAATTGTTCTTCAATCAGTTTGATTGCTTCATCATCCCGACTTTTAAGGCTTCTAAGGTAATCCAGCCACAGAGAAAAGGAAATTGAAACCTTCCTCTTGCGGGATAACCAAGTCATTATAGTCTTATAAACATCAGATTGGGGCAAACACCCACTCTTCATCATATCATTTAGCAAACGAATTGCTTCCTCTTCTCGATCAACTTTATAAAGCCCATCGATAAGGGTTCCATAAGATACACAATCAGGAGATAATCCCTTGAATTGTAATTCTTTAAGAAGCTTGAAAGCACCATTAATGTTTTTATTCTTGCACAGATCATTTATGAGGATATTATAAGTAGTAATATCAGGTAAAACACAATTATCAGTCAGCTTTATTAAAATTCTATATGCCTTAAGATACAACCCTGAATCACATAACCTGGCAATCAAGTTCTGTAGGCTTTCTCTGTCCAGTGCACGGTCAGTGCATTGAGAAAGATGAAGAAACAAAGAAGGATTTCTACCTATCTCCATCTTATAAAACAAGAGACGTGCTTCCTCAAATTCTCCAGCCTTGCATAGCCCATCAATGAGTGTATTGAATGTTATAACAGAAGGAAAGCATCCAGCTTTCTCCATCTCTTCAAAGATTTGCTTTGCTTCCTCCACCTTTCCATTTCTGCAAGCGCCATATATGAGGTGGTTATAAGTACATGTGTCAGGGAAGCAATTGTTCTCTGACATCTCACGCTTAAGGGACTGTGCATCCTCCAACAGACCCATTTCGCAGAACCCTCTGATCAATGCATTATAACATTGAGTATCTGGAACTACACCTCTTTCCGTCATCTCTTGAACCATTGTCCAAGCATCCTTAATCTTTCCTGCCTCTGTAAGACCTTGAATCATAATAGTGTATACTTTAAGATCAGGAGTTATATTTTCCTCACATAGTTTCCGAAACCACAAGTTAGCTTCCTCAAATCTCCCGACTCTAAATAAGGCGTAAATAATACAGCTATAACTTTTAATCCCTAATGTATACCCTTGATCCTGAAAGGACTTCAATAGCCCAAATACTTCATCAATCCCACCCGTCTTGCAAACCCCCGAAAGCATAGCATTATATGTAATTGAATCAGGAAGGCACCCACTATTTATCATTTTATCTAACAAACCTTGAGCATCATATGTCCTATTAGCTAAACACAAACCCGACAATACAATCGTATAAATTATGGTATCCGGAGATATTCCATTCTCGATCATTTTATCAAACATATTAAGCGCGTCTTCGATCTTCCCAAGTTTACAGTAACAATCAATCAAAATGCTATAGGTAGCTACATTAGGACTACAATCTAACTTCAACATTTGATGATACAAAGATAATGCCAACAAAAACACCTGCTTTTGCACCATAATATGAATAATCGCATTGTAAGTATGAACATCAGGTTTACAATCATAATCCTTCATCTTACCAAACGATTCGACCGCCTTTTCTGGATTGCCCGCCTTCCAATAACCCGACATCAACACGAAAAATACCTCAGCTGGGACATCAAACCCACATTTCTTAACCTCTTCTAGGGTTTCCCAACAAAGATCAAACCCACCATTCTCCTTCAAAATCATATCAATGACCAAATCATTCAAACTCCTAGCTCGAAGCGACCTCCGATTCATTGCCCAGATATAAAATCGAAACCCCACTTGAAAATTTGGGGGTTTCGTCATGATTGATGACACAATACGATGATTGAGAATGTGTGCAACTGGATCAAGATAATGTTCAATGGGGTTAGAATTCTCAAGAATTGAGATAATTTGGGTCAATGGGTCGGATTTTTCAGTGGATAAACGTGATTGAATTAGCTTGCTGAAAGATACGAAATGCCCGAAAAAGGGACGTTGAATCAAAGTAGCTACTCTCATAGTAGAAAATCTAGGTTTTTGCAGAGGTTTTGGGATTAGAAAATTGATGAATGAGAGAACTTAGGGAAAATGGGGATTTAAAGGTTGTTGATTCATTGCCGATTTCTGCCACCGAGTGTGAGCATTGCGACGGTGGTGGGCGGTTGTACGACGGTAATTGATCAGAAGTGGCGGCGGCGGAAGGTGGTGGGGCAGAGAGCAAGTTTAAGTGTTGGTGCTATTTTGGAGATGAAATCCTTGTTTTTAGCGGTGAAAGTAAAGCCCATTTCATTTTTTTTTTGGGATGTAATAGAGCACTATTTGGAGTGGCATCTAGTTGGATTTTTTACGAAACTAAGCGTTATTAGTAAACTATTTACGAATATAGACGTGTGGCCAAATTATTTACGAAATTGAGCTTCTGAGGTAAAACGCTGTCTCGGTCAGCGTTTTTCCTCATTTTTATTTATTTAATTTGTTTTGAATTATGTATTTTGTGAAATACAAAATAAAAAATAAAAAAAAAAACTGAAATACACAAAAACGTTGTCTCAGTCAGCGTTTTTGTGTTAGGCTATAACAGGCCTTAAAACGCTGACTCAGGCAGCGTTTCATTAATACTAGAAACACGCTGCCTCAGTCAGCGGTTTTTCCTGGTATATTCTTCCAGGCAAACGCAACGCATTCACTCTTCCTCAAAACTAAAAACTCAAACTCTCTCTTCCACAAAGCTCTGTCGTTGCCGTCGCTGCCGCTGCCGCCGCCTGCTGCCTGCCACCGTCGCCGCCGCCTACTGCCTGCTGCCGCCGCGCCTCTCCTCTTCTTTATAATCACATTTTTGGTACTTCTCACTTATTTGTTTTTAAAATTTTAAAACCTAGGTTAGTTTGATAATTATATAGTACATTGTTTTAATTTGATAATGTTGTTGATTATTCTAAGTTAGTTTGATGTAAATTGATAATTATGTTGATAATTCTAAGTTAGTTTGTTGTAATTTGATAATAGTTTAGTATAAAAGCCCTAAATTGATGTTAGTTTAGTAAGAAAGTTTATGATGAAATTGTGGGAATGTTTGGTAAAAATGTTGAAAATGTTGATGAAATTGTTGTTTTAATTTGATAAAATAGCCTACATTGTCGTTTAATTACGAAAATTATGTTATGTAGAATACGTTGGTTGTTAGTGTGAATATGTTCGTTGTGTACTTTGTTTTGGTTGTTATGTGAATATGGTTAATTATGTTTGTAGTGTGAATTTCTTGGTTGTTATTGTGCGAATTGGTGGAGATTGCATGCAATTAAGATGTGTTTTTGGTTGTTGTATAGAATATGGCTGCACAAAACGCAGCTTTGTTATGCCGATGGGGGGTGAATTTGTGTCTGATGGACCGAATGTCCAGTATAGTGGTGGAAATATGGAACCATTGCCACTTGGACCAGACATGACTTTCAACGATCTGATGAACGAGGTTCATAGCATTATTGGCTTAAACCGAATGAATGTACAACTTAACATTCAAATGAGGTTTGAGACTAATAATGCGGTTCAAGTGTTACCTTGTTCTAACGATAGACATTTGAAAGCTTTGAGGAGCGCTGTTTTAATGAGGGGTTATCCACATGAGATATATGTAGAAATAGTGTCTACGTGTACGCAACAAAGTACTCGACCAGATCAACAAGCTACCTATTTTTCCGGTTACACAGAGTCCTTCCGAATGCCCTCACAAGACATTCCATCAACTGAATATGGGATGGGGTCCTTCAGCAGACTGCTTCATGACGATCGGTTCCAGATGCCGTTGAGTTCACATATAGCTTCACCTGTATATGGTGGAACATCCACGACAATGTTTGGCCAATCTGGGCTTTCGACATCGAACACAGTTATATCTTCTCCCATGCAACTCCAAAGTTATTCACCTACGCAGCATGATGATCATACATCACCGTCTCAACCATTGGTGAATCATCTTGAAAATCTACAACATATGGTGAATAACGAGTTGTCTCTGTATGATGCGCTCCGGGAAACAAATGATGAGGCTGAGAACGAAGAGGAGGAACCAATTCTGGATAACATGGATGTTGATTCTACAGACATGGAAGGTGGGGAGGCCATGGTTAGAACTCCTATTCCTTGGTTAAGTCAAGTAAATGAGAATTATGAGGTTGATCAATATTGGGCCGAATCAGGTAGTCATACAACATTTGTGATCGGGGGGGAGTTTGAGAAGGGTATGTTCTTTGAATCTAAGAAACTGCTTCAGGAAATGGTGAAGAAGTATTCTATACAAAGGAACCAATTCTACACCACAGTGACCTCGAATGAGAAGGTCCTTCATCTGCGGTGCAAGAAGAATTGTGGTTGGTCGCTACGAGGCACCAAAAAAAGTGAGCACTCAGATACCTTTACCATAGTCACATACAAAGGCCCGCACCGGGACACCTGTGTCACTGAAGTGTTATATACAGATCATGCACACTTGGATTCATCCTTAATTTCCGATTTTGTGAAGTCTTTTGTGCAGAAAGATCCATGCTTGAAAGTTGAATTTATACAGGAACTCATATCCAAGCATTTTTCAGTTCGACGTTACTTATCGAAGAGCATGGTATGCTAGGGAGAAAGCCATAGCTGAAGTATTTGGAGATTGGGAGAGTTCTTATGGACGACTTCCGCACTTCATGGAAGCACTCAAACAGTCAAACCCGGGAACCGTTGTTGTATGGAAACACAAAGCTCTGGTAGACGATGTTTATTACAGCAACATGGAAGTGTTTGAACGAGTATTTTGGACCTTTGGCCCTTGTGTTGAAGGTTTTAAACATTGTATGTTTGTCATCTGTATCGATGGGACGCATTTGTACGGGAAATTTAAAGGAACATTGTTGGTTGCTACAGGTGTGGATGCAAACTTCCAAGTATTTCTGCTTGCATTTGCGTTAGTCGAAGGGGAAAACATTTCCAGCTGGTCTTGGTTTCTGGGCTGCATTCAGGTTCATGTCACTCAACGGGATGGCCTCTGTGTTATATCTGATCGACATGCTGGGATCATTGCAGCAATGAATGACCCTAACGTTGGATTCACCGAGCCGCGAGCCTATCACAGGTTTTGTGTTCGGCACTTGGCTTCTAACTTGAAGACTCACGTACGAAGAAACGACATGAGAGATATGTTCAAGGATGCTGCGTACCAAAGGCAGAAAAGAAAACTGGTAGCTGATATGAGTTTGATCGGTCAGGCGTGTACCAAGGCCATACAGTATATTGTCCAAGTTCCCTTGCCTATGTGGTCTTTGTTTCACGATGCTGGTCGCAGATATGGGATATGTACTACGAACTTCTCAGAAACATTTAACAATGTGTTGAAGGGTGCTCGATTTCTACCTATCATGTCCCTTGTGGAATTAACATTCCACAGAGTCAATAAGTATTTCACTGATAGAAGGGAATTATCTCAGACTAGATCTGAACAGGGACTTGCATACTCCCCCAAAGTCACATCCATTATGGAGAAAAACATTGCAAAGGCTAGATATCACAAAGTGGAAGCGTATAACCGTCGACTGCATATATATCAAGTTGAAACAAAGAGGGGAGATAGAATTGGTAGAAAAGGAGGCCATAGACATACTGTTAACTTTCAGTTAAGAACGTGCACATGCAATAAACCACGAATCTTCCACCTCCCATGTTCTCATGTTCTAGCAGTTTGTGTGAAGTATTCGATATCAGAGCGGCCATGGGTGGACCGGGTACTGTAATCAGAGGCCTACGCAAACACATACGCTCCCCAATTCTGGCCTATCCCTTGTGAGACGACATGGAGAGAGAATGGAGGGCCTAAACTCATTCCCGACAACAGCATGGTACGAGGACAAGGTCGCCCTAAGTCAAGACGCATACGCAATGAAATGGATGAGACCAACCGTCCCGCGAGCAAATGCGGCCTCTGTCACCAGCAGGGTCACAACAAGAGATCGTGTCCCTCTAGATCGACCGGGCACTAATTTTTTATTTTTTCTGTTATCTGGAGTGATGTAGTAGAATAGCACGGTGATTGTATTTCTACATTTCAAATGATTGTAACAGTTGGATTTTTAGATTGAAGTATGATATTTGAAATTCTGTATTTTGTTATCGCTTATATGTAATTTTTACTTTATAATTGTTGGATTATAACTGTTATGAACAGATACCATGGACACCCGAGATAGGACACCCGGACCCACCGACCCTTCTGTCCTTACACTACATGACACACATCGTAGCGTTGACATTTGGAGTCAGTCGATTGATCCGGCGGGCATACTGACATGCAGGCACTACACTGTTGCGTTCCTTAGCGATTGGGTTATCGATCCCCGCATTCTGCCTTTCGTGGAGTACGCTGGCTTCATGGGTATACATCGGATGACGTTCAGAGAGGTCGACCCAACGCTTGTTACTGCGCTTGTGGAGAGATGGAGGCAGGAGACGCACTCCTTCCATCTACCTGTTGGGGAGGCGACCGTGACGTTGCGAGACGTGGCGATACTCACACGGCTTCCCATTCATGGGAGTCCGGTGTCTGGATCTGCGTTGGCCGATCCCCCCGGTTATGTAGCTCAGGTTCTCGGGGTTCAGCCAGGACCGGACGATATCAGGGGCGGCGGATTGAGGACCGGCTGGATACGCGACACTTTTCGTGTGTTGCCTGATGGTGCTGATGAGGCCACTATTGCGAGACATGCTCGAGCGTACCTTTTTCTGCTCATCTCGGGTGTGTTGTTCGGTGGCAAGAGTGGCAGCCATTTACAGATCATTTACCTGCAGCTGGTAGACCACGACTGGGAGCATATTCGTGGCTACAGCTGGGGCAGTGCTTGTCTGGCGATGTTGTATCGCCATCTGTGTAGAGCATCCCGCCGGGGTTCTCGTGAGATCAGCGGACCGTTATTTTTGTTTCAGGTAACCTACCTATCTGTTAACAATTTAATTCGGAAAGTTCTTACTTAGTTTACAATTAACCTAGTTTTGTGTGTTTGATGTCCAGTATTGGTCTTGGGAGCACATCCATGTAGGCAGGCCAGGTAGGCCTGCTATACATCGTCAGGGGCAGCAGGATCAGGACCAGCAGTATGAGCGGTACATTCCTCCACCACGGCCTTCCGCTGACGAGGCGTACGCTTGCAGATGGGCGGTCCCCAAGCTGACATATGCGCATGCGGCGAGGGGCCTGCCCTACTACCGAGACGCCCTTGATCGACTGACCGAGGATCAGGTGAAATCTTTAATTTGTTTATGAAATTGTTATTTATTATGTATACTCTTAACATATTTAATATGCACTAACCTGTTTATTATGTTACTTTTTATGTGTGATCGCAGATGACATGGGACCCGTATGAAGCTGATTTAGTTGATGCCATGCCTCCACATCTGCTAGATCATCAGGCGCAGTGGCGTTCTAGGGTCCCCCTGATCTATTTTGAGGTCGTCGAGGGTCACCTACCAGATCGAGTCATGCGACAGTTTGGACTACGACAGACTGTGCCCCAGCAGTGTGACACTAGTGCCCGGCTGCACCTCATTGACCGTCGGGGAAAGAGCGACAGGAACTGGCGGACGGAGCATGCCCAGTACATTGACTTGTGGCATCGACGGTTGGAGTTCGTCGTCACTGGTGACCCCATCCACGGCGTTATGGATCCATACGATCCATACATGGAGTGGTACATGCGGATTACACGGCGTTTCATCAACTCCAGCTACACACCGCCATCCGCACATTACCATCCATCCTTTGACGTGATCAGGGGATATGTAAGTGTATTTGATTAACTTATTTTTATCAATTTTAAATTTGTATATCATTCAACTAACTCATCCTTAATTACTGCAGGCGTTGGATATGACGGCGATGGTTGACGCACTGTCGGACGTCCTTCCAGGCATACCTGAGCCGCCCAGAGCACAGGTCGAGCGGGTGCGAGATATGGGCATGGCTACCTTGCAGAGATATGGTCACGCCTATCTCGTCCACCCCCGGGACGATCATGGCGGCCACTCTAGTCACTCACAGTTCGAGGCTGTCCAGAGTAGCTGTGGGGGTGATCCTTCGTCATTCACGGGCGCAGAGGAGTACGACATTCGCAGTTCCGCGCCCCTACGTCATCCTGATGACCCATCTTCCAGCCAGCTGACTCCGCCAGTACGCCCGAACCCATTTACCACGGTCCGTCACTACAGCCGTCGTCAAAGGCCGAGAGTGGACATACAGGATAGAGAGCCGTTACACCAAATTGATGAGTTAGAATAGGATAGAATTATCTGATTTATTTGCTGTAATGATCTTCTCTAGTTTGTTGTACATAACACTTACATTACATTATTATTTTAATACTTATTTGAATGAATTTATGTCTTGTTTGAACTTCAAATTCCTTATTTGTCCACGTTTGACTCATTTCATTCAAAATAAATTGTGGATGTGGAGGTGGTGGATGTGGAGGAGGATGGGTGGTGGAGGTGGTGGAGGATGTGGAGGAGGAGGGTGGTGAAGGTGTTGGAGGATGTGGAGGAGGAGGGTGGTGGTGGTGGTGGATGTGGAGGAGGAGGGTGGTGGTGGTGGATGTGGAGGAGGAGGGTGGTGGATGTGGTGGATTTGGAGGAGGAGGGTGGTGGATGTGGAGGAGGAGGGTGATGGTGGTGGTGGATGTGGAGGAGGAGGGTGGTGGTGGTGGTGGATGTGGAGGAGGAGGAGGGTGGTGGTGGTGGTGGTGGATGTGGAGGAGGAGGGTGATGGTGGTGGTGGATGTGGAGGAGGAGGGTGGTGGTGGTGGTGGTGGATGTGGAGGAGGAGGGTGATGGTGGTGGTGGATGTGGAGGAGGAGGGTGGTGGAGGATGTGGAGGAGGAGGGTGGTGGTGTTGGTGGATGTGCACTGGTTGCTGTTGGGGGCCTGCTGTTGCTGCCTTCAGCCAGCAGATAAAACGCTGACTGAGGCAGCGTTTTATGCTTAGGTGTAAAACGCTGACTCAGTCAGCGTTTTTCTCTGTTATGTATACAAAAAAAAACGCTGACTGAGTCAGCGTTTTACTGTATTTCCAATTTTTTTTTTAAATTTGTATTTCACATAATACGAAATTTTATAAAAAAAAATAATAACCAAAAGTAAAACGCTGACCGAGGCAGCGTTTTATGTCAGAAGCTCAGTTTCGTAAATAGTTTGGCCACGCGTCTAGATTGGTAAATAGTTTACTAATAAGGCTTACTTTCGTAAAAAATCCCATCTAGTTAGGGAGGGGATTTTCTAAACCTCTTATAAAGCTTATTCTTGTAGATTCTAATAATCGACACTTTTTGCAGCTTAAGGATGGTATTTTTATCTATTGTTGTTTCTTATGAAACTTTCTTCAAGCCTGCCTTTCTCTTTGAGATTAGTTTTGTTCAATAGCATCTTGGTCACTCTAGCGTCTCATATTCTATCGATCTATATATGCCCGACTTCTGTGACAAATAAGTTATCCTCAACCTTCTAATAAGGTTCTGGTTGAGATTAAGCCATGACAGGAAACCTATCTATTGGAGGAAAAAAGAACTAATATACACTCATAAAAACTCAAGAGGACTTGGTTTGAGGAATGTTGCCTCACTCAACAAGGCCCTTCTAGCAAAGCAGGCTTGGAGATTTCATTCACAACTGCGCTTACTAGCTTGTACAATTTTTCACTCCAAATACGGTGCTTCTCCAGTTGAGATAGGTTATTAAAGCTAGAAACTAAAGCCGGGGGCCTCTTTGGTCTGCTAAAAGCCTGATAGGAAGCATTGCCTCACTAAAAGCAGGAATCAGGAGAACTATAGGGAATGGCATGAGTATTAGCATTGAACAAGATACTTGCGCATGTGATTCAATAATCAAATTCAAATAAACTCCCCCAACAAAGGTGAATGAGCTCATGACATAAAGTAGAACTTGGAATGTGGCTTTGGTGAGAAGGCTTTTTGAATTCGATGTTGCACAAAAAATTCTTTCGATCCCAATCCCCACACAAATGGCAGCGGATGAATATGAATGGATTTATACCCATTAAACAACATACTCAGTGAAATCAGGATACTGGCTTCAAGAAAGGAGCTCAAAAACCCAAGATAACCTAACCTGTTTTGAAAGCAACTTTGGCGAGGAAAATTGCTTGCTAAATGGAAAGTTTTCATGTGGAAAATTATCCACAAAGCAATTCCAACTGCTGAAAACCTAAGGAAAAGAGGCATTTTAGTAGAGCATATTTTCCCCCTATATGGAGAACACCAAGAAACACAAGAGCATCTATTCAGAGATTGTAAATTATCCTCAAGAATCTAGGCTGCAAGCTCTTTGGACCGGAGGACAGCTTCACAAAGAAACCAAACTATTAGAGGTTGGGTGACAGGCATTATGTCTGTTAGCATACTATATATATATATATATATGCTCTAAATGCTTTTTTTGTCTTTTCCTTTAGAGTCCTAGTGGACTCAAGTAGTTATAGTCCAAGAATTTCTTGGTACATAGAGTACCTTTTTTTTTTTTATTTGTATTTGTACCCAAAATAAATAAATTGTTGTTGCATTCAGATTTGTCCCTAAACTTAGTTGACTTAACCTTTCTATAAATGATCTATGGACACTTTACAAGTTCCGTAAAAGACTTGTTGGCGGCTCCTATTTTATCCCTTGTCGCTAATTGTATTATGTCAAGGCCGACTCATATGACACATACAATGCTTTCAATTTATCATAGTGAAGCTTATTGTTTTTCTTGCATGCTAAAGGTACTAACGATACTTTTGCAGGTGGTATCATTATTGAAGCAAGAGATGATGGTTATTTTTTTTAAACATGTTTCCCCTTTGAAATCCTCTAGTTGTAGTAATGATGTTCTATCTTCTAGTTTTGCACCAGCTTAAAAAAAATGCTCCTTCTTTGGCACCACAAATCCACATTTAAGATCAACCAAGAAGAAGGAAAAGAAGAAAAAAAGAAGAAAAGGGCAAAAGGAAAATACTTTTGCCTAATTCTGTTGATGTTTTTTTTTAGTTGAACCACCTTTGATTGATTGTGACTTAAGCCTTGTTTATTTCAACTTATTTTTATTTATTTCAGAAAAAATAAGTTCAGATCAGATCAGAAAACATAAGTTCATATCTGATAAAAAAAAATAAGTTTAGATCAGATCATCGTTTTATGTGCAGTTTTTTATCGCTAATTATCTTTAATTTTGTAATGAAAAACTTGTGAAAATTACATATTAATAAAATACACATTATTATGAATCTAACAAGACCCCCTTGATATATTTTTTTTCTTATAGATTATCGTACACTTAATGTCAAAGTTTGATCAGATCAGACCAGATTAGATAAGATCAAATATGATAAGATAAGGTGAACTAAACAAGCCTTTAATGCTTCGACTTTCTTGACGGACTTAGATAACATTCTAGACGATGTATTGGAGCTTAGCTCTTCTTTTAATTTCATTTCTTGGTCTCATGTTAAAAGGGAAGGAGACTTTGTTGCCCATCACCTTGCTCGATTAGAGCCTTTAAGAGTAGAGCAAGTTTGGGAGTATTATTGCCCAGATGTTATCTCCCCGTATGTACTTTTAGATATGCTAACTATTGAGTAATAAAGCACTAATCATTTTTCTTCCAAAAAAAAAAAAAAAAAGAAAAAAAGCCCTTAATGTGTTGGAAAATGACCCTAAGACTTATGATAAGGCGACGAGATTTTCTATAATGCAGGTTTTTGGAAAAAGGTTGTTGATAAAGTAGTTCAATTCTTAGTAATAACGCTTGGGAATTAACTGATTTGCCTAAAGGATGCAAGCCCAAAAATTTAATAAGAAATACCACTTCATAATTTCAAATTCGAGAGACTACAGCAGGGATTCAAAGGATATCAGACTGCAAAATACGAAGAAAGAAGGTAGCTGCAAGCCTGCAACACTGCAATAAGTTGAAACCTTAAGATCCATTATGTTGACCGTAAATGATGTCCACCTAGATTATGTTGCAGATACAATACATCGTTACAAGTGTCATCTCAAAGTATAACTCAAAATCTGAAATATGGGAAATCAGAAAAGCCTGATATTGATGAATATACAAAAAAAAACCGTCAGTTTACCAAGATGTTTCCTACTTTAACCCCAAACAAGCCGCACTGTGTTAAGTGTTTCAGCCTGGCTCCCCTAGCTTCTTCAGCAAAAGACCGGATACAAGCAAAGTTCAATACAAAGCTCACTTCAGACCTTAGCTTTTCTGCAACGCCCGGTCAATTGGTTCTTGAAAATATTGAAGTGCTATAAATACTGCTTCCTGTTTTCCAAAAGTAACAGTTTCAGATACAGAATGAATTACAATGATATCGCTGTCACTCTTTCCCTTGTTGAGGCTTTGAGCAATAAGTGATGGATATAAATATTTTACCTCTGATCTAATTGTACGGCTCCCTTGATGGGGGCATAAATTCAGATATGAATGGAAGACCTCTTGTGCATCTTTTCCCTGGTGAAATGGTGAATATCATTACTAGAAATGAGATATGAACTCTTACGTGCAAAGGAGCAAGCCTCAATGAAAGATACGAGTGTAAACCCAAACTCTAATTTTTTTTTTTCCCCTTTTTTTGATGGAAACCCACATGCTAATCTTAATGCTTGCAATCAAGTAGGAATGGTCAAACCAAGTTGAAGATGAAAGATATATATCCCAATACAGAAGTAATTATCATATAGACCTTACCTTTAATTTCTTGTCCTTGTCAATGCATTCTTCCAAACCAGCGAGGCCACCAAATGTGATCAAAAGGTGCCTGAATGTGAAACAGAGCCATGAGATTTGCATAATCTTACAAATGACCAAGACAAATAAATAGGTGAGATTGTTGAAAGCAAGAAAAGCCAGTTAATAATCATTGTTCCACATGCTGAATCGAGGAGGAGGATACAAGTACCACTCTTACTATCAGTTTGTTTCACATTGCATGACAAAAAGAAACCAATTATCAGGGCACCAAATAAAAGATGAAGTAGCCATCGCCTTTTATCCTATTGATCGCACCCTTATGATTAACTAGAAGTTCTTTGAAACCTCTGCCAACTCTAAAACAACTGAAATATTAAAAATTGAAAAAAGAAACACACCTAAACTCAGGTATACAAAGCTCAGATGACTTGACAACTTGGCCATGCTCTGAAGTTCCAATCACATAGTCATAACCACCCTACAAGCAAAGATAGAGCGCATACAATTACGATGGAACAAAAGACCTGATAAGCTTCCACAACTCTTCTAACAAACATAACTAGCAGTACCTCAAATGAGCAGTTTTCAATAACAGAGCTTAAATTTGGAGCATATCGCACTTTATATCCCCAGTACATGCCCTCTTCTTCTCTAGGAGTAGTAGATTGGACAACCTGGTGTAATGTCCCTTCAAAGACCAAATGGTATCATAATCTTAGAAGCAATACATAGAAAAGTCTGCAAACAGGACCAAGGAATCTATTCTCAGATAACATAAACATAGAATTTTTCTAATTAACAACAATCGATATGAGCAGACAACTGCTAAAAGCATCATCCACTTAGTGATCTGACTGATTTCCTAATTATTATCAAGGAAAAAATCATCTAATTCAAAGATGACTAAGGTAATTAAATTGCATGGTGACAGAAAGCTATTACAAATTTCAAAGACCAAAGATAATACAATAAAATATAAAGATTCAGCAATACTAGGTACAATGAACGAAAGGTTACACAATGAATTAATACCAGTACTCAAATTATGGTCATTCCCCATGGCAACGGTGACTCTTATTCCAGGTCCAAGAACTTTATCAATGACAATATTCTGCATCAGAAACAGAATGAAATTAGAAGCATAGCAAAGCCATGCACTTTGAAAATTGAGATTTTATTGCTCATTTTGAGATGTATCAATGAGATACAAAGATATTTTTTATCTTATATCTTCAACAGTTAGCGCCCATACATCAGAGATTCAGATGGGGATTCTAAAGAGGTAAAAGATGAATGCAACCTTAATTAGTAAAATAGTCGTACCCAGTAAACCAGTAGAAAAGAGAGACCACAGAGTATATGTCAAGATCTTGCATCAAATGTAGTCTCAATTCTCAGCTTATGTCAAGATCTTACTGAAAACGTATGAGTATTCAAGTCAACTGAATATTATTACACCAACTCTTACGCAAATAACATCATGCATCATCTAAAGAGCTGGAAACGAAGACATATACAATAGATCATGATCGAGATCCCATATCGAGACACGAATTCTTCAGACCAAAACAACATAGCCCCTGACCACCATAATAAACCCACATTTGCATTCAAATTGGCAGTTAGATGGTGAAACTTAGATTCAAACATTTGCATAACAATTAACAAGCTAAATATGGTTTTCCTTTTCGTCGTCCAGGCTTGTTTCTAGGTAAGTAATTCTATTTCCCAGGATATCACCTACCATTCACTTTTTTGTTCATTCCTTATAATGCAAAATTAACCTAATTGATAGCAAAAAAGAATTGGTTTTGCAAAGTGAAGGTTAAAGTTCCAACTCACCAAATTTGCAGTGTGTAAATGATATGTAAGTCAATAAAATTTTGAGATTTCTGAGTTCTGACTAAGAAAATAAGCACATAATTGATCTCTATGATAGAAAGATGTTGAAAAAATGCATCCATTAAAAGTTCAGAACTGATGCAGTTGAGATTTGTGGTGGTCCAAGGCCTCAGTACAGTATCATCCTCTCATTCATTACTGAATTTCCAACCATTGTTTTGTATCTGAAATTGCAATGGCTATCCTATGATTGCTACCTACACAGGCCGTTTGTTATGTGGGATTAAAGGGGTGGAAATGCAAATTATATGCCAACATGACAAATTCCTTTGTTTGCTTTAAGGAAATGGTAAATGAATTTCCACTCAATTACCACATTTCTATTACCTAGGGGGTGCCGGTAATTGGGAAATTGAGGGGGTTGGAAAATGACAAAATTGTCATTAATGAGAAAAGGAAGGAGGAAGGGGAAATAGCGGTAAGCAAACCGGGTATCCGGTCAAAATTTTAGGAACTGGACCTAAAATTGGTTGGGACCGGGTCCTAAAATTCGGAACCGGAATTGGAATTGGTTCAACCGGGTCCTAAAATTTAGGACTTGGAATTGGAACCACCGGTTCCGGTTCCGAGTACCCACTTATGTATATTATTGTTAAAATATAATATAATTATAGTACTTATTTAGTCTATTTTCATTTTTAGCGTTTAACACTTATATTTATTTATGCATTAAGCTATTTTATTTATGTTAGGTATTAATAATATTTTTTTATTATTTTTTATTTTACTAACTAGATACATTCAACATAATATTATTTTTAAAAACTTATTTAGTGTAGCATATATTGGGTAACCGAGTACCCAACCGGTTCCGGGTCCAAAAAATCGAGAATTGGAATTGGAACCGGTTGTAACCGGTTCCTTGATTTATTACCCGGAATTGGAACCACGGGGTCCAATTCCGATTCCGGACCCGCCGGTTCCTAACCGGTACCGGTTTCAATTCCGGGTACCCGGTATTTTTGCTCACCCCTAAGGGGAAAGATAATTAGTAAGGGTAATGATGTAAATTTCTTATGAAATATCAATGTATACCTATCAACAACCCACAACCAAACATGGGATTTTTACTCACCTTCATCGATTTCCAACAACCAATTCCCGTTCTTATATGCCAAACACCACAAAAGTGTCCAAAATCTTTGAAAAACATCAATCTTGGAATTAAGACTATAAATGTTGTTTCAGGAGTCAGCAAGCCAACATTATGCTTACAAAAATTATGAAGCAAAACTCAGTGCCCTCTTATGTTACTCGGACTCGAGTACCCATGCCGACACGGGTACGTGTTCAAGTGTCCAACTCGGTTATTTTGTGAAAAAATTCTATGATTTTGAACTAAAATGAAGTGTCCAAGTGTCATACCCATGTCCGAGTGTCGAGGGTCCGACACACGTACTTGAGGTATAATGAAGAGAGCGAGTAACATAGACTGTCTCTCTTCTTTCCTTTTTTTTTTTTCTTTTTTGTGGAAAATGTGACTCACTGTGATCCAGCGCAACCTCCTGAATAATCTCTGAGATGTTGGAGCTATTTAATACTTTCAGAGACATAGAAGCCACTATTTATAAATGGAAGGTTGTTCGGTGGCCCTTTAAAAGTTTGTTTTGACGACAATTGGCCTGATATTCAAATGCATGTTCCTAAGGGTTTACCTTAGAAGCTTAGCAATAACTTCCTTCCATTCTGCCTTATATATACTCCTATAACCAGCTTTGTACTCAGATAGTTCTAGGGTTTATAAAATTAATTTTATACTGCCACTCTTCCAGGCCCCTTAACTATACATCAAACATCATATGTAATTATGTACAGCAGACCTGCAGCACAAAGCACATGTTGCAACATGCAAATAAAGGGGCCTGTATAAAAACCAAATTCACATGGAGTATACAAAGTTATACACACCCAAAACTTTGAAGATTTTCACTTCCTGCAACTAATTCTCAACCTCCAAAGACATTTTTATCTTTGTTGCACTTTGCTTTCATCATAAGGACCCCTTAACTGATCCTAGAAACATCTGTAATGACAAAATAAAATCTAAAGCCTAAAGTTGCATGTAAGGTGCTAAAACATCCATCTCTCGTACCCAATCCTAGTTTTAAGAACAAAGATTGAAGATGGATAAGGGTTTTAAGATGCATAAAGCACATCGAAGCAACAGGGAACCAAGCACCTAGGCAGTAGAAGAGCGGTGAAACCATGGCAAGGCACAATATGTAGCTGAGAGAAATAATCATTGAGAATCTTATGTTACTAAATAGGCAGCTAAATCACAAAACTTTTCCATAGCATTGTGTACACTCATACATACAAAGAATACTAAATTCCAGTTTATTTTATTTTTTTGTCTTTTTCTTTATTTTGGAACGTTAAAAAGGCAGTGGCATGAGAGGCGACCAGGGTTTAACGGGCATCAAAGCACCATAGAGGTAATCATCCTAAGCAACTTGGTACCCATCATTAAAATTTTATCTTGCACCAAGGACCACAACACGCTATGTGATTTCAAATGAACAAATAGTAAACAAAATTATGAGCATGTAATTTGTGTAAATCAAACAATAAACATTGGGTTATTTATTATGAACACATAGTTCTGAGATAACAAACACTTTTGTTATTACTTCAGCAATGAAATTAAGCAAACAATTTAAACTTATGAATGTTAAAAAAATGGTCATGAAGTATGTTCATTATATTGAAACTAGGATTACAATGGCATCGTGATCTTAGATGCAAGATATAATAACTGCTCCATGAAGGTCTTAGATACTCTTTCAAATATATTCTTCACAAAATTGGTTAAAAGCTAACTTCTAAAGATAAGATGTCTGTTACTCTTTCATGAATAGAAAAAAAGTGACGGCTAAGGAGTGAATAGGGGAAAGAGGGGCATCACATCCATCAATGAAGATCTCACAGCTAAGAGCGTCAAGTCTATGGTTTGATTACTCCAAAAGGCCAATGAAAAAACTCAATTGGTAGAATTATGAAGCCTGGAGTAAAAACATGAATGCATAGTCAAGAAACAAGACATCTATGAATATCATGTTAAAATTTTTCTCCTATCTAACTATATTGAACATTCAGCATACCTCATCAAGACCCACATCTACCAATGTACCAACAGAGTTTGGAGCTTTTTCTTCCAAAGTCACGCCTGTCATAGTTACCGAATATGAAATAGGATTATATATCAACAGGAATCATAAATTAATAACTCAGAGCGTAGGCATGCATGAACACAAGCACGACCCCCCCCCCCTCCTCCAAAACACACAGAAAACTCCCAGAGGCATAGACATGCATAAGACATGATTTTGTCACTCCAATTTGATCGATAAATGAAAGCAAATGATCATGAAATATGTCAAACTTTACTCAATATATCTAAAAAAGAGATATAGAAACACATCTTCAAATATTCAATTTTATGAATCCCAAAAACAGCAATATTATCTTCATCACTTGTTAGCTGATTATGTGTAGGTCTCTCCATGACTCCTCTAGTTAAACATAGGAATATATTGCCTTCTTACTACCCAATGCAACCTACATTAACATGATTGTCTTGGTTACACTCCTAACTACCCCTTTTGAAATATTTATTTGCAATTATCACCCTACTCCGAATGTAAACCCTTCTAAGAAACACATTGTAAGTATGACAAAGAATGCTGAGCTCATATCAAACAACTAACAACCATATAGAAACGGCACGACCAACACAAACAATTCAAATGAAATTCAAGATCATAAGCATTTCCGCAAGTTTAAAGTTTACAATATCCATTCTACTAAGTTAACAAGCACATATTCTCCAAAATAGAACAACCTAGAAATTCATGCAAAATATCATCTCAATTAAAACTTTTCAAATTACAAGATTATATCAAAGGCAATCCCCTACCTTCTCTATAGGAAGCCCATTCGTGCTTGCGAAGATGATGTGGCGCATCAAGTGGTGGTAACAAGCCCTAACCAAGATCATTTCATTTAATCAGAGCTACTTCAACAACAAATGCAGGTGCAAACTATGCAATGACAATCAACAAAAATAACTCTTACCACAAATCTTAAGCAACTATGTCTTGTAAAAAGAGTCTTTCTAAGATACTGTGGCGTTTCGAGGTAGCATAAAATTCTAATAAAAAACGCTGCATTACTTTTATCTCCTTCTGAAGTTCCCACAGTAGTAGGATCATCCATTGAACTTCCATTATTGTCAAATACCACAATCTATTCATACAAAACACAATTAAACACCTAAAATTCTCAATTAACTCGTAAAAAACTCGAAAAATACAGGATGATTCAAACCTCATCGATTCGATAAATCGTGGCGGCTCGAGCAATTTGTCCGGCAAGCTAAAAATTACCCACAAAAATCAGAGGAAAATTGTAGTGAGACAAAAAGAGAACTATAGAGTGAGAGAGGGGAATACCCGAGTGGCGAGTTCGTGAGATTGAGCGTTTCCAATGATTGTACTAGGAATGGCGATGCTAACGGTGGGGATGGTTTTTTCTTGGTGGGTATTTTGGTGCTGGTCTTTCTTCCTTTTCTTCTTCTTCCTCTTTGGTTCTTCTTCAGGTTCGACGTCGCCATTGATGAGCTTGGAGGTACCATTAAAGGGGTTCTCTTCTTGCTGTTGTTTAGCTTCATCTTGGGAATGGTGTTTTCCCTTTTTCTTCCCCATTTTCTCTTTACCTAAGAATATAGAATGTTGCGAGTTGAGCAGGGGTTTGGGGTTTTTGAAACAACTCAAGAGTCAAGACTGCTTGCCTGGAGTTGTAGACTTCTTGTAATGGACTGTCAATGGGAGGGGCCAAATTATAAATTTATAAGAGTACTAGTTTCTACAGTTCATAAAATTAGGTTATTTCTGTGCGATTTACGATTAAATTTAATCTTTGTTATAATTTAGGTTTTATTGCATTACATCAATTTATCTATCAATCAATTAATAACAAAATACTTTCTCCGTTTTTATACACTTGCTCTATTTCTCCATGTGCGGAGTTTTAGGAGAAATTGGAAAAATTAATGAAATATGGAGGTAGTGGGGTAGGTGGAATAATAAAAAAGGTAAAATTAGAAAATAACACCCCAAAATTATCACGGTTTTGATTATAACACCACTGAAAAAAAAAAAAAATTTATAACCCCACAAAAAAAACCAAAAAATTGGTTTAACCACCACTTAACTTTTCCATCCACAAAAACCATTAGTGGGTCTTACATTATGCACGTGTCAATTATGTATTGGATTAAAAAAAATTTAAAAAAAAAAAGGAAAAACCTTAAAATTACCCAGCCACCATCGGCACCGCCGATTCCTACCGCCGTTCTCCAACCCACCCCCCACCGCCGTCACCCAATCCCAACCGACCACCCTCGACCTACAAAACCAGCCAGCCGACCATCCTCGACTGTCGAAATCAGCCCAACCGTACCCACGAAATAACCAGCCCCGATTTAGTTTCCGGTGAGGATGAGAGGAGTAAGGTGGTATGTGGGTTTGGGTATGGGTGTGCCGGTGGGGGTCGGGGTTTCAGCGACGATTTTGGGTAGGGTAGAGGAGTTCGACGACGGTGGCTGGGCTGGTTAGGGTTGGGGTTTGGGTGGTTTGGCGATGGATTCGAGTCAGGGAGACGACGATGGGGGCTCGCTGGTTTGGGTTGGGGTCTGTGTGGTTCGACTACGGTTTCAGGTCGGGGAGACAACGATGGGGGCTGGGTTAGGGTGACGGCCGTGGTAGGGTAGGGTTGACGGCCGTGGGAACCGGCGTCGGTGGTGGGGGTGGTGGCTGGGTTAGGATTATAGGGTATTCTTTTTTTATTTTTTAATTTTTTTTTTTTTTTAATCCAATAGTTGATTGACACGTGTATTGTGTGGGGTCCACTTAACGGTTTTTTTTGGATGACAAAGTTAAGTGGTGGTGAAACTAATTTTTTGGGTTTTTTTGTGGTATTACTACCTCCGATCGCTATTATTTGCAACTTTTACTATTTTTAGCCGCCCAGCATTATTTGCAACTTTCCAATTTCTTTCCCTTTTTAACAAACTTTTTTGGTTAAAAAGACATTTATATAGTGGTCCCCCTTTTTATTTTTTCTCTCTCCTCCTAACCACATGTACAAAATCAGATTTTAATATAGTGGTCCTCTTTTTATTTTTTCTCTCTCCTCCTAATCACATGTACAAGTACCCTTTCCTTTTATTATCATATTATGCTTCGTGAACCGTGAAACCCTCCAAAGTTGCAAATAATAGAGACCGGAGGTATAATAAAAGTTTTTTTTTTGTGGTATTATAATCAAAATCGTGACAATTTTAAGGTGTTATTTTTAAATTTTTCTATTAAAAATTGTAAAAAGCAAAAGTAGTTAAGAGAATTGGAGGAGAGATATTATGAAATTAATAAAAGAAAATATGAAAACTAATAATCCCACCTTTGGGATTTCTGTTCAAAATAATCCCACATTTTCGAAATCCGGAAATAATTCCACCTTTGACCCCCATCTGCTCAAAACGGGCCTTTTAACCTACAACCTATTTAACAGGTTAATTTTTTTTAATTTTTTTTTTAATCTCTCGTCTCCCACCTTAGCACACTCGCTAACCACCATAACCACCACCACCCTTCCTGCACCACCACATCACCACCTAACCCCACCACCTTCTTTCTCTCTCCTAACCTCGACCACTCCAGCGACCATGAAACCCGACCACCCGTATCCACCCACAAAACCCCCTAACACCAACCACCCCAACCACCCTGAAACCCGACCACCCCAGCCAAGAGCCAACCTGAAAACCCAACAACCCCAGCCAATTTGAAAACCCAACTACCCCAGGCAACCTAAAATCCGCCCCCTATTTCTTCTTTAATTCGATTAGCTGCTCCAACTTGGGCTTTGATCCCCTGCTTTGAAACACCATCAAAATCCATTACCAATCTTCATCATTCAATCACCACCGTTCATCGTCATCGAAAATTGGCATCATCAAATCACCACCGTTCGAAGATCAGCATCATCAAATCACCACCATTCGAAAATCGGCATCATCATATCACCACCGTTCGAAGATCAGCATCATCAAATTCAAGAGTAATTGTCAGAGTAGTTTGGTTAATTTTTCATACAAATGGTGGTTTTGTGGGCTGTCGTGGGTTTTTGCTGGCTGGGGTGCGTGAGTTGCTGCAACGGTGAGAGTGGGTCCGGCAGGAGGAGGAGGTGGATCGGTCCGTCAAAGAAAGGTGGGTCGCAATGGAGGTGGGTCGGTCCGGCAAGGGAAGGTCGGGAAAGTGGGAAAGGGTTTTTTTTTTTTTAAATTATCCTTTTTTTAAAAAAAATTATTTAAAAAAATAAAAACCAATAAGAAGGTGACACGTGTCAAATCACCTTCTTAAATAGGTAACTAATTTGCCAAACCGCTAAAAGGCTCGTTTTGAGCAGATAGGGGTCAAAGGTGGGATTATTTCCAGATTTCGAAAAGGTGTGGTTGTTTTGAGCAAAAAAGCCAAAGGTGGGATTATTAGTTTTCATTTTTCCTTAATAAAATATAATTTATATTGGGCCCACTATTTGATAGAAATGAATTAAATATTGTAAAAACTTTTCAAAGAAGGAAATGGAGCAAATATTTAAAAACGGCCGGAAATGAAAAGTGGAGTAAGTATTTAAAAACGGAGGGAGTAATACTAAAACAGACACCAGGAATGACACGTGTCACTTCCTGGTGCTGTTTTTTCTCTCTAAAACACTCCTTCCTTTTTTTTTATAAACTAAAACTATCCTTCCTTTTTAGCAAGAATCTTTTAATTTTGAAATATTTGTATAATACAATACAACTATAATAATTATTTCTAATCTTATGATGTATTATCTTTATCTAGAGAGGAAATCCACAAACTTCTCCTTGACTCCTTCAAACATAGATTCAGTTTGCCTAATAGTCGCTAAATTGATCCCTCGTTCATCAAGCCAATTGTCTCACTAGATAATTGCAACATCCTCCTCGGCCCAATCTCTAAAGAAGAAATAAAAATGACTTTTTTTGATATGAATCCAAATAAATCCCCAGGATCAGATGGCTTTGGGCCTAAACTTTTTCAATCCTACTGGCCTATAATTGAAAACGGTATCACTATAGCAATCCAAAGTTTTTTTTTTTTTTTTTTTCACATGGGTGCCTTCCGCCAATTTCTGAATCACACTATTATTACCTTAATACCGAAAACAGATATCCTAGAAACCCCCAAATCATTTCTGACCAATTAGCCTGGTAAACACAATTTACAAAGCAATATCAAAAATCTTGGTTAATCGTCTATGCCCAATCTTAAAGAAATCTGTTAGCCCCTTACAAAATACTTTTACCCTTGATCGCTCAATCCATGACAAAATCCTTATAGTATAAGAAACACTTAACACCTTCCATAAACAAAAAAAAAAAAAAAAAAAAAAAAAAAAAAAAAAAAAAGACAGGTTGGTGTGCACTAAAGTTGGACATGGAAAAAGCATATGATGGAATTGAATGAGATTTCTTGTGGGAAACACTTAAGGTTTTTGGATTCTCCTTGAAATGGATTCACTGGATTCAGGATTGTGTCACAAAAGTGTCATATTCTCTAAAAATAAATGGAGAAACTACAGAATGGTTCAAGCCTGAGGGGGTTACGACAAGGTGACCCCCTTTCCCCGTATCTTTTCATCTTATGTATGGAAGTTTTAATTTGAAAATTATCTTTAGAAAGCCAAACACATAAATCAAGGATTGGCTTCAAAATTGCCCCTCGCTCGTTTAATATTCCTTGTCTCCTTTTTGCAGATGACAGCTTAGATTTATGTAAAGCTACAACATCGGCCTGTAATAATCTAAAGAGAGTACTAGACAAGTTTTGCTCCTCCTCTAGTCAACTAATTAATTTCCATAAGTCATCAATCATTTTTTCACGCCAAATTATGAATAGTCATCGCACGACCCTCGCAACCCATTTTAACATGACCCCCAAGTCTTCTCTCGGAAGATATTTAGGGGTCTTTTTAGCTCGTACTATCCCTATGAAAAAGGATTTTAAGAAAGTAATTGATAGCACCCAGCAACGTAGGAACCTTTGGGAAGAAAATTACCTTTCTAAAGCGGGTCATCATACTTTGATTCAGAGTAACTTAGAAGCCCTTCCATCCTACATTTGTTCTTCGTCCCTCCTTCCCACCGATATTGCGAAAAAAACTCATGAAAGAGAAATATCTCCATAACTCCTCATTTTTTGAATATCAACTTCAGCCTAAGGACTCACATATATGGAAGTCATTCTCGCGCAGAGGGAAATTCTACGAAAAGGCATACGCTGGAAAATTGGTAACGACAATGACATTTATTTTTGGCTAGATGACTGGGTCACAAATAAGAGTCTCCTTGAAACCTTGGAGTTATAGGGCCACCAAGTCAACATCAACTTAAGAGTTTCAGATTTTATTCTCCCCAATCGACATTGGGATAAATACAAGATTTGTTCTTTATTACCAAACTATATTGTACAACTAATCATAGGCATCCCATTATCTACATCTCAAATGAATGACACACCAGTATGGGGCCCTATGCCTTTGGGAAACATTTTAGTCAAGTCAGCCACTTGGATCGCACATAATTTAGAGCCAAACGCCGTAAAATGGCCACATCGGATATGGAAAATAGACATCCCGCCTAAACTCCAAATCTTCTTATGGCAAATAATGCATAATAGTCTTGGTGTCAGAGATACATTTTATAAAAGAAAGATTATTCCTTTCAACCATTGCACCCTTTGTTCCGCCTATCCAGAATCACA